AAAAAACATTCTCTGTACGACATTAAAACCTGCGCCATTCAATGGAAAAGTCAGGCACATTAAAAGTGGCAGGTGATCATCTCTGCTTAAATCTTCAGCTTGTTTCAATTAAATACAGTTGCTGCCTACAGAAAAGTTCAGTTGTTACCAATAAATAAGAAGATAAAAAGAACTTTGCTGGATTCAATTCCCATGACTTAATACAACATCTTTCCACCAAATAAACTATTTTTTATGATTTGGCCATCTAAGATAGCCGTAGTTTAGCAGACTAGTATTTGTACCGGGTGATGATTGAATGTCAGAGGGAAATCTGGACCGCGGCACACTATGAGCAGCTTTCTGAGCATAGTTACAAACCAGACAAGCAAACACACATTAGTTGTCTAATTGCTTCAGCAAGAATAATGTGAAAACTAGTTTACTTGTGACACACAACCTTCACATGAGTCTTATATGTTGTTGAATTCCCTCCAGTAATTATTCCTGCAGGACTTAGAACTCAAACGATAATTAATTTCCACTAATGACCAATTTCTCTAACACTATATCATCTGATTTTGTCAAATAACTTTAAGTTACACTTGATTCGTGTACGGCTCTTCTGACAGAATGAACAACGTGTATGCATTGAGACGATCAACCTCTCTTTCAATACCTAGAATTCACTTGTAATGAAAGAAGGATGGCCTATGGGCTTTTCGCCTTAGAAAACCAAAAAATTGAAGAAATACAGGCTAGAGTAAATCAAATTTTTAGACATCTTTCAAACGACGAAAATCTTTTCAGGCTTTTCTAAATGAAATAGGTATATTTGTCGATGATAATCAACTATCAGTGTTTGATATCAAATGTTAAAAAGGCTTCACGTAACTAACTGTTTTCCCCTAATCTTCAGATACACCTATCCTTACTAAATTTCGTAGATTTAATAACAGTTACCCTCATATGTGATACAGAGTGACTAGCAGGGGACTTCAGGACCCGCATTTCGTCATATTTTCGGACTACTCAGTTGGGTGTACCTGCCTTCTAGTGAGTGATGTTGTCTCCACTGGGACTCAAGCCCAGGATCAATCTTTTCAAACGCCGGAGTGTTGTCCAATAAACCACCAAGTTACGATAGCCATGCGACGGGCATGGTATAATCTTGTTGTTATAGGTTGTAGGCCTCCGTCGTTTATTGAATCTAACCAATCGGCCTGTATTGGCATATGAACCTCTGTATGAAGGATACCTCAATATTGCCAGTATTCGCACAGGAACTCATATGTTACTAGTGGTAGATCAGTTTGATTCAGTCAACGGTTGATGCTTACAAGCTAGTACATCAATACCCTGATGTATACCTTATCTAACAGGTAGGTAGTGAAAAATGAGGACAACAGAAGACTGTGGTTTTATCAAGCTTCTGAAGAAGATATCGTATTTGACTATTAAAATATGGAGGAGGCTTTCATGAAGAATTTAGCAATTAACATCAAGATTACAGTGACGAAAGTCATCTAGGTATGCAAGTGTCTACAGCAGACATAAAACAAGGTGCATTCGATTCAAAGAGAATCAAAGCAATGGTCGACAACTTTTCGATTAACTCAGTTTGTATTTCAAGATCTTTCAACGAGGTGTTATTTTGTTGCCAAGTTGTAAGTTTATACTTCAAGTATTTCTTTCAGGCAACCTTGTGATCCTGAATACTACATATGAATCTCAACAGCATGTATTTCAAAGAAACGCGTTATTAAGCCACTGGATGTGTAATTAAAGTCCATGTTCGCATACAAAAATTGAAGGCAAAGACATTGGATGAAAAAACCCCGGTTAAATGCTACGATTCTGTTGATTAGTAAAGCATCAACGGTAATCTTTAGGGGATTGTGGGGTTTGATAATTTGCATACTAACATACGCTCAAAAAAGATTATCTGAAACATTGAGTATATCATTATTGCCTTTTAGAGTGGAAATGAGGCAACTGATTGGTTTCTTTGAAGTATGCCACACAACCAGATTAGTGAATTTAAGTCGTTCCTGAGGTCAGTAGCATGAAACTGTTTGAATATCCTTGGTTTGTGTACTGCAAATATCTTAAATATCGAACAGGAGGATGCAATAACACAAAGTGTCTCATAGTGAAAATGCGATTCATGTTACCAATAGTTAATCCATCCGCCGATATTAACGTGGGAACAACCATTCACGAATAGCAATTGAAGTCGTTACACTTCATTTCAGAATATCAAGATAGAAGGCACTAAAAGGGATAATAGGGAAATAAGGAAGAAAGCTATAAGAAGTGGTAGGAAGTCGTAGAAAAGTAGTGGGAAGGAATATCAAGTTGATGAAACCCGAAATGATGGTTAGGATGACGACAGTGCATGAATATATCTTTGACATTCAGATTGACTGAGTTATACCACCTGGCCTCCATCCAAAGAGTTTCAGTCTACTTATCTTTAACCTTATTCTAGCTTGAATTTACTTTAGCTAATATTACGCAATAGACCAGACTGTGACTAGGCATGCGTAACATATGTTCTACCCATTTGAGATGATAAAAGTTTAAAGCCTTATAAACTAACTTGCCTCTTTTAACAAAACTATATACCTGACTTCTGCATTACTGACGTGTTGGTTCCTTGACATATGAAGGCAACGGTGGCTGAAGAGAAGACAATAGGGCTATAATTTATATAAATGTAGCTTGTTGATGTAGACCTACAGCTTTCAAACAGTACGTTATATATTCAAATTCTGTTTTGTCTACTGCCTTAAGATGAGTTAATTGACATAACTAACCTCTAAAAGACTAGGTGTCGCTCACAGCCTTGTACAAAATCTTGTACGCCTATGCCGGATCAATTTGAAGCAGTAAGGATAACTCTGGAAATTATTGTGTTTAGTGGAGTCCTGTAGCTAATAATAGTGGAAAGTGATGTTGGCACATACCAGTGAGATCTCCTCCTTAATATAAATTTATTCGTATTTTTACCTTTATAAGTTGGAACCACACGTTACTCTTCTTATCTAGAACACAAATCAGCTATCTATACCTCCAAAAGGGGGAGAGGAATATCTACTTGATTTTCTTAACAGGGCATCATCAGCTCCTTCGTTTTTCTGAAAATGAGGGAACAGCGAAGTTGTATTGTGGTGGCTTACTAAGACAATATTGTCATGTTGTCTAATCCTTAATGCCGATCGGTTTCTGCCGGTTATATTAGTAATTAGAACATTCGGTTGACTGACCTGATAACTTTCTACACTGTAGTTTATCTCTGACCGCCTGCTGCCAAGTTTAGACGGTGTCAACTCAGGGAAGTATGCAAACCTGCTATCTCCAGTAGTGAATGAATATATTAATTATTACTTCCAAAATATTGTATATGACTGATTGAATAAATCCTCTTAAACTCTCTCTTTAGAATCTGCTTACGGACTTCACCTACAGGCTCACACGATGTCATGAATATATATATATATATATATATATATATATATATATATATATATATATATATATATATATATATATATATATATATATATATATATATATATATATATATAGAAGAATGATATGATAGTGAAACAAAAAGATGACGAATAAGATGGCATGAGTGACCTTTAGTTAGCTGAAGGCCAAGGGTGAAGTAACGCTTCAACATGTTTTTTCAGAATGGAGAGTTCAGACTTTATCAGTCTTATTGCTACAGTCTCCGCTATATTGAGCAGGCGTTGGTAAGCTAAACGTGGTGTCGTTTTTGGAACATGATGAATGACACTGAAAGTTTTATTAGCATATATGTGATGTCTTGTGTTGACTAGATGCGCTAGAACTAAACTTTTCACCACTTTCATTTCGTCCTTTCCGAACCGAGTTGGTAAATACTCTCGTATCTGGAGACGTACCTACTTAATTGTACGCCTTATGTAACTAGTCCCAAAAGAACACTTAAACTGATATGTGAAAGATGAAGAGCTAAGATTAGGTAAGCTATTCTTTAGTCTCGGACTGAGTATTGGCTGACTACTGAATGATATGTAAGACCGACCTGCATAAAACGTCCTACAGAATGCTCTAGGTAGGCGTTGCGATAGAATATCACTTTCGGCATCTCCCTTGAATTGTAAGCACAAAAACAAAGACTTCTTTCCCACTGTCATCAGTTCTCGTTTAGGACCAATGTAGTTGATGTTAGTTTTGATGAACTTGCTAGTTTAACTGTTCTTGTGGAACTAGTTACATAAGGCGTACAATTAAGTAGGTACGTCTCTAGATACGAGAGTATTTACCAACTCGGTTCGGAAAGGACGAAATGAAAGTGGTGAAAAGTTTAGTTCTAGCGCATCTAGTCAACACAAGACATCACATATATGCTAATAAAACTTTCAGTGTCATTCATCATGTTCCAAAAACGACACCACGTTTAGCTCACCAACGCCTGCTCAACATTAAATCAGTTAGTAAACCATGTGTGAGGATTCCCTGTGTGTGTGTGTGTGTGAATTTAAAGTCAATATCTCGTATACAGTATTGTCTAAATATGTATAGGACTAGTTAATAATCAGTTGGGTCACGCGAAACTTTTATAACTTTGAGCTGCCTTAAACAACACTTGAGCAAACTAAGGTAGCTAATTATCCTCAGGTTAATAACGAAATGACTATGTCTATGTGAAGAATTTATGTGATAGATACTATGTGAAAATAAAAGATGACTATTATTGTTACCAATATTTAGAATATGAAGTGTCATTTAAGTTTTTGTTGTCATTTTTTGTACACCACAGTTAGCTTTCAATAAAAATTTAGGAAAATAAGGGACTGAGGAGACTGGTTAACCAACCAAATCCACTATAGCCACAATCACTTAAGCAGCTCAGTGTTCCTTCGATAGAGTAGACGTAAGCTAGGTGAAATGACCAAAGTAGTTAATCAGATTCATTCGCCAAAGTAATAAAAAACTCAGACAATAAACAGATAGGTAAACCAACTCACTTATCCTTCTATGTGTATCATAATCTTTCCATTGTTCATCAGTTTCTGGGATAGGTTCATTACTTTTCAATGGTATAGTACCATGCACCCAACAGTAGTTGACTAAAAATGTTTCAAATCCACTGCCAGATGGTGAAACAGACACATAACATGACATTGAGCCTAGGACGTATTGTTTAGCAGTAACAACTATAGTGGCCAACAGAAACAGTAGAGTTGTAAATATACTTAGTCGATCAGCGAAATCTTCAATGCCAATTGATACAGGAAGTTGTAGGCTCGAGAAAAAGTTTATAAACTCTTGGGCAACCATGTTCACCGACAACTTTGTCACTGGTGTTGTTGTTGTTCACTTTGAGGACGATGCTAACACCGAATACAACAATGAGAACTTGAAGACGCACCTCTTTCAATGATGTTCGAATTAAAAATGACTGATGAGTATGCTCCTTATTTGCTGTGTTAGATTTCTAGATAATAAGGATGATTTAGTCCTCAAGGTACATTACTGGCTAGTTACAGTTTATATATACAAAAGCTTTCACAGTTAATAATCAGTTCATACTATTGTATACACTTAAATGGGTTTTTATACAGCGTACATAATCCGTATGCACACTTATATGTACGTGCATATACTTTACTTGTTTGCATAACTTTGAGTTTACTTTTTTGTGGATATACTCATTAGTTTTGATTAGTTTTCTTGAAGGTGGGCGTATACCTGTGTTCCAGTAGTACATGCATCAGTAGATGAATGGGTCAATAGAATTATGATCATGTATATCTGTGTGCGTGTGCGCACACACAATCATCTGAGATAAACTAGTTTTTTCACAAGAAAAGTTATATAATCTATTCTCAATATTGTCAGTACAAAAAAATGAGAAATAATACATGGCGAAACTTATAAAACAACCATATAGTCTTATGTGGATAAACGCAGAACTAAAACCATACCGAGATTTAAAGTTACACTTAGACGTATGTATCTGTAAGTCTTTATCCCACCTTGTCTTGCCTATTGAATTTTTTCATAAGCACAAGTTCTCGGAACACTCAGTAAGAAAGTGATGGTACTACCAAAACTTATTAGCATTAAGGTGTTGGCAAATGTCAACGTTATATTTGAGTGACTGTTATGGTCATCCTTTCAATAACTGAAATAACGAATTAAGATCCTCTATTTTATGAAGAATTGCCTTTCCAACAGAAGTAAAGGAACCTAACTGATCATTTCATTGGTTGCTAGCGTGGCTTTTAGAGTTATTCCTATATTTTAGGGATCGCTTATTCGAATCTAACTCCACTACATGTTCGTATACATCTGTAACCATTATAATTGTAGCATGAAGACGAAGTTTACCAATCAACTTTAGTGAATATTATCTACTTATAAAAGGATCTGATCAAGACAAACTACAGCTGATAATAATAATAATAATAATAATAATAATAATAATAATAATAATAGTAATAATAATAATAATAATGGCTTTATTCTAAAATCTATTTTGGGAATACTCTACACAATTTCCAACGTGTTATATCGCTTTAGTTGGACAGAAAGTGCATATATATATATATACAGAAATTGAAATAGTTATAAATTAAATATAAAAGATAAGACTATTAACTCTATCTACAACTTTCTTGAAAATTCATAGTTGACTTAGGTAGACATGCATATTAGCAATTAGATTCATAATACAGAAATAGTATCAACCTGTGTAATCTTCAGTCAGCTTGCTTTAAAAAACAGTTGATTATTACTATTTATTGATATACTTTTGGTTCTCCTTTGTTTTACTGGATCGAATTATTCGAGCAATATTGGGTATGGGCTCCCATGCGGATGCCTCGGTATTGCCTGAATGTGAATAATGGTAATGTGCTCGGTTAAGGCTAGCGGAGGAATCCAGGACGTGCGTTTCCTCCTATTTGGGACGAGGCTGCAGTCTCAGTGGGAACAACATCACTCCGCACTGGGGTGCAGGCATATCAAGAAGTTGATTAGCAAGTTCACTTGTAGTACTTTCTCCATTGCATGGGGGACGAGCTAAATACGCTATTACAGAGATTTGTATTTAGTAGTACATACATAAAGTCTCATGTACTTGCTCTTTATCTTTCCTGATGACCGATACGCAGAGGGCTTTGAGTGAAGAGGATGCTTGTCGTCTGATAAAATAACTGCAGCCAAATGTTCACTGGGGTTAATTTTTTTACTCATAACAGTTTTAACTAGAGGGTTTAGAGGTCCACCACTAGCTCGGCTGACAATCTTCGATGTTCTACGCAATACAGCAGTCTTTTTTCAGCAACCCAGGAAAGAATATGGGGGAAGAATAGAGCAGAACAATCAAGATGCAAGAGTTTTTAGAACTCAATATGAGAAGCTGTTATATCAGATACTCTCAGCTTATTAATACAGAAAATCAGGTGGAAAATTATTTTTGAAATTAGTAAGGTATGGAAGGACCAGGAAAGGTCAGAAGATAAACACTTACCAAGATAAATCACACTTATCCTCAAATATACAGCCATCAATAGAACGGGAATCACGAGAAATAAGCAGTTTACACAGATTATGTTCACGTCTGAAGCTAAAGTTTATAGTCTGACATTTTGGAGAATTAAGCACTAGACTATTTGTGGAGGACCATCGTCCAATAGTAGATAAGAAATCTTTCAGTTGGAAACAATCTGTTGAAGAGGAGATAGGTATGAAAACAGCCAGATCATTAGCGTATTTGATGAAATCGACACTAGCTGAAGATAGTAAATCATACAGAAGGAAAGAGGAGAGAAAGGACAGTTTCTTGGGAACACCAGTCACTGTGAGGAATGAGTAGAAGCGCCTCCCTCTGTGAACAGTATATTGTTTCTTTTCAGAGGAATAGGAATACAGCCAGCTGATTATCCAGGACAGATGAAGAGTCCCGTATAGCTTGTTCAGCAAGAGGTTGTGGGACAGAATCAAATAATGAAGTACAGTCTAAAAAGGTAGAGACATTTGGCATTTCTATCAAGAGTACAAGCAATATTGTGATATAGGACAGCGGTGGCATCCAGAATGATCCTTCTGGTTTTGCACTCAAACTGGTTAGGGTCTCCGAAAGCCTCCAATGAGGGTTCAAGCACAGGTATCATTAGCTTCTGCATGATTTTCAAGAAGGGCGAGTTAACTGTAGTCGGATGGAATATTGGACATGCGCCTGAAGTCCCTGATTTAGGTACGTGGACTACCTTAATATCTTAACAGGCAGCTGGTATAGCGTTTTCTAAAAACGGTCTATTGAACATGTTAGCTAATGGATGGCATAGAATATCAGCACACTTCGTGAATACGAAGCTTGACTTGAACTGTGTGAAGAGTTCGGGTTGGGTGGTTACCGATGGTACATACGAATTGTGTTCCATGAGACTCATACCGATTTTCAGTCGAAATGACAGTTCCAAGACAATTAACTCGGACGGCATGAGAATAATAAACAGTTTGGTAGTTTATAATGTACATATTTGCCGAGAGTTTGGCCCATTTTAGGAGATTTGATCTGTGGTGTAGGAGTTTGCTATGGAGGCAACAATGAAATCCCCAAAGCTACAAGGTAACTAGGCTTCATTGACTGGCTTGCTAGCTAGTTGCAGTCATCGTGAAAATGACCAGTGTTTCGTTTTGTTAACATGTAGATTTACAATGTAAGGTGATAAAAGGAAAGAGAGAGAGAGAGAAAGGAGATTTGACTGTGACAATTGAAGCACACCTTTTTGTAAAGATTAACAAAACTGTTGAGCTTTCCAAACTAAAATAAATGAAGTCGATCAGAAATCCCTTTCTGTTAGTTGAGAATTCAGTATTTAAACGAATGAGTCAGAAATTATTATTTGGGTCAGTATAATTTTACTCTGTGTTTAAAAATATATTGGATGCATTTATTGCCCAAGCTACATAATTCCGTACAATTCCTTTGCAAAGTTTGAAGAGAATTTATATGAAATTAAATTCAACAGGATCGAATAAAAATGATAGAAAGATGCGTAGACAATAGAGGGAAATAGTGAATTGTATGTTCAACACTTCAAGGAAACCATTTACTTTATGAAGCTACTACCTTCTTCCGTGTTCAAAGTTCTTTAGTCACACCATTCATCATTCATAGCTAGGAAACATAAGAACCATTTGTTGAACAACAAACAATATCACATTACCTAGTTTTCGTAGGTGATTGTAACTTGTTAGACAAAGGAATCAATCTTCCCTATAAGTGGAGTTTACATTTGGTTCGTTTGATGTGATTAAGTAATTCACTTTGGGGATGCATACCGACTAATAGCATTGCATGACGATGACTCTGTATCATGAACTGACAGAAACTGGTAAATGAAAATCAGTGAATATCAACATGCTTGTTGAGTGATAATATGCTTACGTGGTTACCTAAAGATCCATTGCTCAAGTTCGAATGCTTGATCACCACAGAATAGTTTCAAACTAGGTAGAAAGTGCCACCTAGGATTGTTCACTGGCTCCCAATAGTCATCTAGATGATGCCAGTTGGTGAGGAAAACTGACCTGAAATGGCAACACTTAAAAATGCTCAGTTTGTAAGTAATTTACAAACTGCATGATCCAAACTGGCATTTCTCAAAGATGATTGGTTTTTCAACTTCTCAACTGTGGTGTCCACAAGGTCTCTGTTGAAAACATACCGATCAACCTGCATGGATCCCAACTACTCAAGTTGTTCAGTAGTGCATTTCATTGGTTCATGACAGTGGCTCGACGCCAGATGAAAGAGCCAACCACTTAGTGTTTGGACCTCTCTGGTCTGGCTGACGAAACCTACTGATCGTTTTGAGTGGTTTCCAACTATCCAAACTATTCAATAGTATATTTCCCTATTTGGAAATGCTGACCCTCTTGTTTAAAGTCTGTATAACTCTGTGCAGCTAGGACAGGATGAAAAGGATTTTTAAGTTCTACGAATATTGAAAATAGAAGTGGTGATAGGAGGTTGTTGCACAAATATATTATGAATATAATATATTACCTGATATGCTGATGATGAATAGTTTTGAAAGAGGAATCCTTGATTCTAAATGTTTCGACATAGAATGAAGACTGTACTGAGTGTATGGACTATAGTTTAGAGGTGAAAATAAACTACATTTCTTGATTGTGATAACTGATCTACATGTCGGTAGGTTTTATAATGTGCAGAGGTTATCGGTGCATTTATAAACATTTTATAGTATTTTTAAAAGAGTTTATTCCTTTTCAGTCACGCAGAATAGTTTCATTTCTTTGTCTCCTTTTCTTATCTATAAATTATGCACTAGAAAAGTGTAGTATTTTCTTAGGTGGTGTATAAATTTCTTCGCTAGATAACAGACGTTAAGATATTTCGTAATACAATTCATTTCAATAAATTATTGCATAAAAATTCAGAAAGTGTGTTCTATTGTTAACTAGTGAAGGAAAACATTATTTGGAACCGTGTTACAAAGTTGTTTTGTCTTTGTTTCAGTAGTTGTTTGAAGAGTTTACATTGA